GCTGTGGTCTGTGTGGCTGGTGTGTGTGTGCCGTGTGTGTGTGTGTCTGGCTGGTGTGTGTGTGTGTCTGGTGTGTGTGTGTGTGTGGCTGGTGTGTGTGTCTGGTGTGTGTGTGTGTGTGTGTCTGGTGTGTGTGTGTGTCTGGTGTGTGTGTCTGGTGTGTGTGTGTGTGTGTCTGGCTGGTGTGTGTGTGTGTGTCTGTGTGTGTGTGTGGTGTGTGTGTGTGGTGTGTGTGTGTGTCTGGTGTGTGTGTGTGTCTGTGGTTGTGTGTGTGTGGGGTGTCTGTCTTGTGGTGTGTGTGTGTGTCTGGCGTGTGTGTGTGTCTGTGTCTTGGTGTTGTGTGTGTCTGGTGTGTGTGTGTGTCTGGGTTGTGTGTGTGTGTCTGTTTGGTGTGTGTGTCTGGTGTGTGTGTGTGTCTGGTGTGTGTGTGTCTGGCTGGTGTGTGTGTGTCTGTGGTGTGTGTGTGTGTCTGTGTGTGTGTCTGTTGTGTGTGTGTGTGTGTGTGTGTGTGTGTGTGTGTGTGTGTGTGTGTGTGTGTGTGTGTGTGTGTGTGTGTCTGTGTGTGTGTGTCTGGCTGGTGTGTGTGTGTCTGAATGTGTGTGTGTGTGTGATGCACAGAGTGTGAGTTCAGGTGAGATAAATTACGTCAGGTGTTGGTATTGCGACAGGTAGGAGGAAGGTGGAGATATGTGGTCTCCAGCAGGGTAGGAGAAGGTGGAGATATGTGGTCTCCAGCAGGTGGGAGAGGTGGAGATATGTGGTCTCCAGGTGGAGGAAGGTGGGGTGTATGTGGTCCAGGTAGGAGGAAGGTGGAGATATGTGGTTCCAGCAGGTAGGAGGGAAGGTGGAGATATGGTCCGGGTAGGAGGAAGGTGAGATATGGGTCTCCAGCAGGTAGGAAGGTGGAGATATGTGCTCCAGCAGGTGGAGGAGTGGGATGTGGTCCAGCAGGTAGGAGAAGGTGAGAGTGGCTCCAGCGGTGGAGGAAGGTGGAGATATGTGGGTCTCCAGCGGTGGGAGGTGGAGATATGTGGTCTCCAGCAGGTAGGAGGAAGGTGGAGATATGTGGTCTCTCAGCAGGTAGGAGGAAGGTGGAGATATGTGGTCTCCAGCAGGTGGGAAGGAAGGTGGGAGATATGTGGTCTCCAGCAGGTGGAGAGGTGGGGGTATGTGGTCTCCAGGTAGGAGGAAGGTGGAGATATGTGGTCTCCAGCAGGTGGGAAGGTGGAGATATGTGGTCTCCAGCAGGTAGAGAAGGTGGAATATGTGGTCTCCAGGTGGGAGGAAGGTGGAGATATGTGGTCTCCAGCAGGTAGGAGGAAGGTGGAGATATGTGGTCTCCAACAGGTGGGAGGAAGGTGGAGATATATGGTCTCCAGCAGGTGGGAGGAAGGTGGAGATATATTTATCAGTCAATTAGCTAAGAGGTGAAGCTGCAGGCAGGTGAATCTAATATTGGCTTATTAAACTATGGCTGTGTCTTCTCCACCCCTCCCACAACACAAAAAAACACGAAGTAATAAAAGAAATAAATTGCATCCTGTAGAAGATGTTTTGTTTTTGTTTTGATTTATTTGATTATATTTTGTACCAAGCAAGAAAAATTTTATTATCATAATTTTTTTTTTAATTTTTCGATGCAATAATTTGTTTTTTTAATGTTGAAAAAAAATTCTTGTTTAAATTTTTTTTTTAAGTTGAAAGCCAAAAAAATAAATCTCCTATTGTTTTGTTATTATCGAAGCAAATAAAATATAGTACTGTTTTTATTTGTTTTTATTAATCGAAAAAAAAAAAAAAAAGATATGTGTTTTATTTTTTTTGTTTATTATTAACAACCTGGATGATTGCTGTGACTCCTGTGTAACCAGGTGGAATTTTTCTCTCTCTTTTCATTTTGTCTCAGTTTATTTATTTTTGGTTTCTCTTGTGTTCTGTAATCAATCCACAGCCTCACAGCCTCTCCAGCCTCACAGCCTCCTCTCACAGCCTCACAGCCTCTCTCACAACACACTGCCCCGTGCTATAAATCCTCTCCAATCTTCAGAACAAACCATAACACAAATTTAACAGAAATTTCTATTGTAGAATAAATTCGGTGAGCAGAAACCTCCCCCCCCCCCTCCCCTCCCCTCCCCCTCCCCCCATACGAGCTCCGCGTGTCATGGTTAAGAGGATTTACACAACACCATGAACAAATACCTCAGGGAGTCTTATCAAGGCTTCACGCTACAGTGGTCGCTTTGTGTCATACATTTTAATTCATAAATATTCATATTATACATAAACTTATACATATATTTCAACATATACTTGTTCATATAGTTACATATATACATATATCTACGTATAATTATACATATTCATACACTTATATATTTACATGCAAATTATACATACAATTAGACACAGACATACATTTATCCATATAATTATACACAGACTTACAATTATACATATACATACACTTACCTATAATTACACAAACTTGTACATATAATCATACATAGACATACACTTATACATATACAAATTACGTGTTGTGAACGCGTCGAGCCATTCATAAAATCTAAAAAGAAAATTTGTAATGTCTCCTGCCACTCCTTGGGGAAATAAATGCCACCTTTACCTGCAACAGTTTCCAGTGATTAATGCTGACACCTGACTGTAACACCTGACTGTAACACCTGACTATCACCTGAAGATTGGCCCCACAATTTACTTTCACCAGATAGGTAAACACCTTAATACTTTCTAGGTTAGGTTAGGTTAGGTTAGGTTAGGTTAGGTTGGGTTAGGTTGGGTTGGGTTAGGTTAGGTTACGTCAGGTTAGGTTAGTTTGGTTAGGTTGGTTAGGTTAGTGTAGGTTAGGGTTAGGTTGGGTTAAGTTAGGTCAAGTAAAATTATGTTAGGTCATATAAGGTTAAATTAGGTTAACTTTAACATTCTAGTCATCAGGTGAAATAAACATGGATGGGGGGTTAATCTTCATGTGATCCAATTATTCCAGTTAAATACAGACAATTATTTAGAATCTGTTAGTTCTTGAGAGACGTAGAGAGAGACGTATGGGTTGAGGAGAATGTAAGAGATGGTGGGATATTGGTGTGTGAGGGCGAGGTTGAGAAAATGGTGGTGGTGGCCAGGAGAGCAAACAACAACAACAACAACAACAACAACAACAACAACAGCCAACAACAACAACAACAAACAACAACAACAACAACAACAACAACAACAACAACAACAACAACAACAACAACCAACAACAACAGCAACAACAACTAACAACAACAACAACAACCAACAACAACAACAACAGCAACAACAACAACAACAACAACAACAACAACAACAACAACAACAACAACAACAACAACAACAACAACAACGACAACAACAACAACAACAACAACAACAACAACAACAACAACAACAACAACAACAACATAACAGCAACAACAACAGCAGCAACAACAACAACGACGACAACAACAACAACAACAACAACAACAACAAGCAACAACAACAAAACCAACAACAACAACAACAACAACAACAACAACAACAACAACAAACAACAACAACAACAACAACAACATGCAACAACAAGAACAACAACAACAACAACAACAACAACAACAGCAACAACAACATGACACAACAACAAGCAACAACAACAACAACAGACACACAACAACAACAACAGACAGCAGCACAACTGACGACAACAACAACAACAACAACAACAACAACAGACAACAACAACAACAACAACACACAACAAGCAACAACAACAACAACAACAACAACAACAAACAACAACAACAAGCAACAACAACAACAACTACAACAACAACAACAACAACAACAACAACAACAGACATACAACAACAACAACAACAACAACAACAACAACAACAACAACAACAACAACAACAACAACAACAACAACAACAACAAAAAATCATCAGTAAGGAGAACATCAACAACAAGACAATAACCATAGTAACAACAACAACAAAGCAACAATAACATCAACAAAACAACAACAAAAACAACAACAACCACAACAAGTACAAGCCCTGATGTTATCACAAGAGAAAGGCCAGTAATACCAACTAACAAGAACACAGGTAATGTATGTATGTATGTATGTATGTGTATGTATGTATGTATGTATGTTATCATTTAAAAATTACCTAATGAAATCCAGCAGCTCACTCACACCCCACCACTACACTCACTCACTCACTCACCCACCCTCACCACTACTCACCCCACTCACTTCACCACCACACACCCACCCACCCCACTCACTCACCCAATCACTCACCCACACCCACCCCACTCACTCTCACCAATCACTCACTCACCCACTCACTCACCCACCCACTCACTCACACACCCCACTCCACTCACACACCCCACTCATTCACTCACTCCTCCACACCCACTCACTCACTCCTCACCTCCCTCCTCCCAACTCACTCACTCCACCCACCCCACCCCCCCCCTCACTCACTCCCACACACCCACCCACCCTCCCCTCCTCCTCCACACCACTCACTCACACCCTCCCACCCCCTACCTCACTCACTCACTCTCCCACTCACACTCACTCACCCTCACCCACCCCACACTCACTCACTCACTCACTCCCACCCACCACTCACTCACTCACCCCTCACTCCTCACTCATCCCACCCTCACTCACTCACTCACCTCCTCCTCCCCACACTCACCCACCCACCCACCCACACTCACTCACTCCACTCCACTCACCCCACTCACCCACCCCACCCCACCTCCCACTCCACTCCCACTCACTCCACCCCACCCACCCCTCACTCCTCCTCACTCACACTCACTCCCTCCCCCACCCCCACTCACTCACTCCTCCTCCTCCACTCACCCAATCATGTCTTGGGGTGGTGGAGATAGGATTAACTCTTGACGGGGACTGAATTACGCACACCAAATTTTCTTAATTATTCCAGTCATATTCCATTTCCGGGGCATGATGGCATTATGTGTTTACGAGTTACTAGGAGTGGCACTCTTCTTGGCACTCTTCTGGGTGGAACTACTGGGTGGCACTCTTGCTGGGTGGCACTCTGCTGGGTGGCACTCTGCTGGGTGGCACTCTGCTGGTATCTACTGGGTGGCACTTGTTGTGTGGCACTCTGCTGGGTGGCACTCTGCTGGGTGGTGCTGGGTGGCACTGCTGGGTGCTCTGGTGGCACTCTGCTGGGTGGCACTGCTGGGTGGCACTTGCTGGGTGACTGCTGGGTGGCACTCTGTTGTGTGACTCTGCTGGGTGGCACTGCTGGGTGGACTCTACTGGGTGGCACTCTTCTGGGTGGAACTCTACTGGGTGGCACTCTGCTGGGTGGCACTCTTCTGGGTGGAACTCTTCTGGGTGGCACTCTGCTGGGTGGCACTCTGCTGGGTGGCACTGGGTGGCACTCTGTGTGTGGCACTCTGCTGGGTGGCACTGCTGGGTGGCACTCTGGGTGGCTTTGCTGGGTGCTGCTGGGTGGCACTCTGCTGGGTGGCACTCTGTTGTGTGGCACTCTGCTGGGTGGCACTCTGCTGGGTGTGCTGGTCGCACTGCTGGGTGGCACTGCTGGGTGGCACCTGCTGGGTGGCACTCTGCTGGGTGGCACTGCGTGGCACTCTGGGTGGCACTCTACTGGATGGCATTCTTCTGGGTGACTTTCTTCTGGTGGCACTGTCCTGGGTGTTAGTCTACTGAGTGGCATTCTACTGGTGGCACTCTGCTGGGTGGCACTGTTGTGTGGCACTCTGCTGGGTGGCACTCTGTTGTGGCACTCTGCTGGATGGCACTCTGCTGGGTGGCACTGCTGGGTGGCACTCCTGGGTGGCACTCTGCTGGGTAGCACTCTGCTGGGTGGCACTCCTGGGTGGCACTCTGGATGGCATTCTTCTGGGTGACTTTCTTCTGGTGGCACTGTCTGGGTGTTAGTCTGCTTAGGTGGCATTCTACTGGGTGGCACTCTGCTGGGGGCACTGGTGAGTGGCACTGCTCGGTGGCACTCTGCTGGGTGGCACTCTGCGGGTGGCACTCTGCTGGGTGGACTCTGCTGGGTGGCACTCTGCTGGGTGGCACTCTGCTGGGTGGCACTCTGCTGGGTGGCACTCTGTTGTGTCGCACTCTGCTGGGTGGCACTCTGCTGGGTGGCACTGCTGGGTGGCACTCTGGGTGCCTCTACTGGATGGCATTCTTCTGGGTGACTTTCTTCTGGCACTGTCCTGGGTGTTAGTCTACTGAGTGGCATTCTACTGAGTGGCATTCTACTGGGTGGCACTCTGCTGGGTGGCCTCTGCTGGGTGGCACTCTGCTGAGTGCAGCTGCTGGGTGGCCTTCTGGGTGCACTCCTGGGTGGCACTCTGCTGGGTGGCACTCTGCTGGGTGGCACTGCTGGGTGGCACTCTGGGTGGCACTCTACTGGATGGCACTCTGTTGGGCGGCACTCTGCTGGGTGGCCTCTGCTGGGTGGCACTCCTGTGCACTCCTGGGTGGCACTCTCTACTGGATGGCATTCTTCTGGGTGACTTTCTTCTGGTGGCACTGTCCCGGGTGTTAGTCTACTGAGTGGCATTCTGCTGGGTGGCACTCTGCTGGGTGCCTGGTGGGTGCTCTGCTGGGTGGCACTCTGCTGGGTGGCACTCTGCTGGGTGGCACTCTGCTGGGTGGCACTCTGCTGGGTGGCATCTGCTGGGTGGCACTCTGCTGGGTGGCACTCTGCTGGGTGGCACTCTGTTGTGTGGCACTCTGCTGGGTGGCACTCTGCTGGGTGCTGCTGGGTGGCACTCCTGGGTGGCACTCTACTGGATGGCACTCTGTTTGTGGCACTCTGCTGGGTGGCACTCTGCTGGGTGGCACTCTGCTGGAGTGGCACTCTGTTGTGTGGCGCACTCTGCTGGGTGGCACTCTGCTGGGTGTGCACTGCTGGTTGGCACTCTGCTGGGTGGCACTCTGCTGGGTGGCACTCTGTTGTGTGGCACTCTGCTGGGTAGCACTCTGCTGGGTGGCACTGCTGGGTGGCACTCTGCTGGGTGGCACTCTGCTGGGTGGCTCCTGGGTGGCACTCTGCTGGGCACTCTGTGGTGGCTCTGCTGGGTGGCACTCTGCTGGGTGGCACTGCTGCACTCTGCTGGGTGGCACTCTGCTGGGTGGCACTCCTGGGTGGCACTCTGCTGGGTGGCACTCTGCTGGGTGGCACTCCTGGGTGGCACTCTACTGGATGGCATTCTTCTGGGTGACTTTCTTCTGGTGGCACTGTCCCGGGTGTTAGTCTACTGGTGGCATTCTACTGAGTGGCACTCTGCTGGGTGGCACTCTGCTTGTCGCACCTCTGCTGGATGGCACTCTGCTGGATGGCCTCTGCTTGTCGCGCCTCTGCTGGATGGCACTCTGCTTGTCGCGCCTCTGCTGGATGGCACTCTGCTTGTCGCACCTCTGCTGGATGGCACTCTGCTGGATGGCACTCTGCTGGATGGCACTCTGCTGGATGCGCACTCTGCTGGATGGCACTCTGCTTGTCGCACCTCTGCTGGATGGCACTCTGCTTGTCGCACCTCTGCTGGATGGCACTCTGCTGGATGGCACTTCTGCTGGATGGCACTCTGCTGGATGGCACTCTGCTTGTCGCACCTCTGCTGGATGGCACTCTGCTGGATGGCACTCTGCTGGATGGCACTCTGCTGGATGGCACTCTGCTTGTCGCTCCTCTGCTGGATGGCACTCTGCTTGTCGCACCTCTGCTGGATGGCACTCTGCTGGATGGCACTCTGCTTGTCGCACCTCTGCTGGATGGAACTCTGCTAGATGAGTGACTGACCTTGAACACAGAACCAGCTTAGCCAAGACGTCCCTCTTACCAGTAATTGACAACTGAGGTCCACACCCCACCTCCTCCCTCCCTCTCCCCCTCTCTCACCTCACCTCCCTCCCTCCTCTCAGCCCCCCTCTCTCTCACCTCACCTTCCTTCTCCTCTCGTCCTTGCCTCTCCACTACTCGCTGTTAAATGTCAAATGTTGAAATGCTTTAAATGTACAACAATACATTAGTAACACGCACAGCACGGAGAAGACAACCCATGACCCACACACAACCCATGACCCACACACAACCCATGACCCACACACAACCCACACAACCCATGACCCACACACAACCCATGACCCACACACAACCCATGACCCACACACAACCCATGACCCACACACAACCCATGACCCACACACAACCCATGACCCACACACAACCCATGACCCACACAACCCATGACTCCGCACAACCCATGACCCACACACAACCCATGACCCACACATAACCCAGCATGACCCACACATAGCCCATGACCCACACATAACCCATGACCCACAAACCCATGACTCGCACAACCCATGACCCACACACAACCCATGACCCACACATAACCCATGACCCACACATAGCCCATGACCCACACACACAACCCATGACCCACACACATAACCCCATGACCCCACACATAACCCATGACCCACACACAACACCATGACCCACACATACAACCCATGACCCACACACGAGCCATGACCCACACACATAACCCATGACCCACACGAGCCATGACCCACACACAACCAGTGACCACAAACAACACCATGACCCACACACAACCCATGACCCACACACAACCCATGACCCACACACAACCCACACACAGCCCATTGATTGATACTACACATCCATGATAAGTGCTTGTGCAGCTGGATAAGACAAGGGATGGTATGCAAATGAGGTCCAGAATTTGCATATTTTCGACGGCAAGTGGGCGTGAAGTTGTTAGAGCGATACACGCCCATTTCTGTCCCGAGTCTGAACAAAATCGGTCTATCAGGGGCTGTGAGAGAGAGAGTGAGAGGAGAGAGAGAGAGAGAGAGAGAGAGAGAGAGACTCACCTTCCGAGCAATATTTAATCTCTCCATCTCATCTTCAAGTTGTGGCAGAGATGGCAGAGATAGTTCTCTCTCTCTCTCTCTCTCTCTCTCTCTCTCTCTCTCTCTCTCTCTCTCTCTCACCCCTTCAATATTACCCTTCCTCCCCCCTCCCCATCACTACCACATCCCACCCCTTCACGACGAAACAGGACAGTAGGGGATGGTGGTGGGGGGGCAGGGGAGGAGGGGTGAGAGTAAGGGGACAAGATGAGAGGGAGAGGGAGAGGGAGGGAGAGGGGTTGGTGGTGAGGGCGGGGAGAGGGTGAGAGTAAGGGGGACAAGATGAGAGGGAGAGGGAGAGGGAGGGAGAGGGGTTGGTGGTGAGGGGAAGTTAGTGGGAAATCTTAACAAATCCTCTTAACTTTAACGCTAACTTGCTCACCTGGGAGTTAATTAACCGGTAAAGTTATTAGTGGAGGCGTCACTCAGGTGTTATGTGCATATACCTGGCGCTAAATGATCACACACACACACACCTGGCTCTAGGCACATATACACACACTTGGCCTTTAGTCAGGTTCTTAGACACATACGCACACACTATCTTTTCGACAGACAGACAGACAGACAGACAGACAGATAGACAATTAGATTAATAAAAACATGAACCAATTAAACAAAACACCCACAAAAAACATATTTGACAACAAACCAACCAAACAAACAAACAAACATACAAACAAACATACAAACATACAAACAAACAAACAAACAACAAACATACAAACAAACAAACATACAACAAACAAACAAACAAACAAACAAACAAACAAACAAACAAACAAACAAACAAACAAACAAACACAAACAAGCAACCAAACAAACAAACAAATGAACAAACAAACGAGGAAAAAAAACACGGTGACTGTACACACATCCAACCCGAGCCTCCAACGCTGCCACGTCTTACCTCCCCCTGTTCTGGTAAACAACATTAAGAAGAGTATTGGCAACACTGTACCAGCGAGATTTGGCTGTCAGCTCGACACAGAGACGAGAAGGCGCCCCCCTCTCTCTCTCTCTCAGGAGTACTGTACTTATAAAGAGGTATTGAAGAAATTCGGTGATATAAAATTGTGGCTGAAACGGTAAGCCTAACCCCTTGTAAGATTTGAGGCCCTCCATCCTCCCTCCCTTCCGCTAGTGTTGCCGGCTAGTGATCATCATATATTTAGCTCTTCCACCTAAACTCCGGTATTAATTCACCTCTTATATTTATTATTAAACAACAATCACAAACCTGTGTGTGTGTGTGTGTGTGTATACCCTTGTGTTTATACATATACTAGCTATGCCTATAAGCACGTCCTATACATATACCACATACATACACATACAGTAATACAGTATATTTTTACCTTCCATTACTTTATCAGTCTTTCTGTGTCACCCCTTCATCAATATATTCCATTATTTCCTAATTCTATTCTTCCTCTTCAACCTCCATCATCCTCCTACTCCATCTCCCTCTTCTTCCACACCTGTCCACCACACCTGCTGCATCCCACACCTGTCAAAGTTCATTCTTGCGCCGAGAATCACATTGTCCTATTCCATACCTATATTCGGGAAGCCACGTCACCTGTAATCAACTCGTTCAGGCGGCGGGAGACAGGTGAAGGAGTAATATAGTTAAAAAAAAATAATAATAATAATAATAATAATAATAATAATAATAATAATAATAATAAAATAATAATAATATAAAAAAAATAATAATAATAATAATAATAATAATAATAATAATAATAATACTGGTAGCCATAACAACAATAGCAATAACGTCATGTAAAAAGCCTCAGCTTTAACATAATTAAAAACATCATCACTACCTAACATATACAATAAGCCCCTCCCCCACCCCAACATCACCCAACCCCACCCCCAACGCTTTCATAATCACTACAAATATTCCCTCAAACATAAATTCTGGGATTAAAAAATGCAATACATTTTTGGGGAGGAGGGCGCACCATCAGCGAGGCACTTACTAGAGGCAACGACCACCTCAACCTGTCACCTAACCACCCCCCACCTCCCCCCCCAACGACTCAGTCAACCATTGAAAATGCTGAATAGGGAGAGCGTGGCGTCAACTGGGAGGAATAATTCCGTGTGTGTGTGTGTGTGTTTTGAGAAATGTGGGAGAGACACGGGAGAGATGGCAAGAGACAGAGACAAATAAGGAGAGTTAAAATGCTCGTCCTGTTATAAATGTTCCAATAATGTTCAGTGAGGTTGGCGGGCGTCAACCAAATGGACGCCCGGGAGTTTGTTTACTTAATGTGGTGGGCGGGGCGAGGCAGGTGGGGTGGGGCTTTGCGGGGCGAGGCGTGGCGGGATGGGGCGGGCGGGATGGGGCGAGGCGGGCGGGATGGGGCGGGGCGTGGCGGATGGGGCGGGGCGGGGCGGGATGGGGCGGGGCGAGGCGTGGCGGGATGGGGCGAGATGGCGGGATGGGGCGAGGCGGGCGGGATGGGGCGAGGCGGGCGGGATGGGGCGAGGCGGGGCGGGATGGGGCGAGGCGGGGCGGATGGGGCGAGGCGTGGCGGAATGGGGGCGAGGCGTGGCGGGATGGGGCGGTGGCGGGATGGGGCGAGGCGGGGCCAGGGATGGGGCGGGGGCGAGGCGTGATGGCGGGATGGGGCGAGGCGTGGCGGGATGGGGCGAGGCGGGGCGGGATGGGGCGAGGCGGGGGCGGGATGGGGCGAGGCGGGGCGGGATGGGGCGAGGCGGGGGCGGGATGGGGCGAGGCGGGGGCGGGATGGGGCGAGGCGGGGCGGGATGGGGCGAGGCGGGGCGGGATGGGGCGAGGCAGGGCCAGGATGGGGCGAGGCGGGGCGGGATGGGGGCGAGGCGGGGCAGGATGGGGCGAGGCAGGGCGAGGCGGGGCGGGATGGGGCGAGGCAGGGCGGGATGGGGCGAGGCCCGGGGCGGGATGGGGGCAGCGAGCGGGGCGGGATGGGGCGAGGCGGGGCGGGATGGGGCGAGGCGGGGGGGGCGGGATGGGGCGAGAGGTCTGGCGCTTGTACAATGCTATACTATCTTAAGAATGATAAACAATGCGTCTTTACACAACTTATAAAACTTAAGTGACTTGCTAGCGCACAGGCGTCGTGTTAAAGCGAGGTAGAATGTGAGGAATGATATAAACACACCTTTAACATTCTTTCTATTTCTCTGATTATTAAAAAGAATGATTAGTAATTTGTGTTAAAGAAGAAGAAAATTAAAAGCTGTCTTTCATACCCAAGAAAACAAACAATTGACGAACTTTAAAATGATAAGGAGTTTTGAAGGTATGGGAAAATATCATGTAATTTGGCAGGAATTTTTAAGTTTGGCGCAATTTTATCTCTTAAAAAATTTAACTGTTGATGGACATAGTAATATTATTAACCTTGTTACGAGCCCTAATGACCTTAGTTGTTTAAGAGCTGTGATAACATTATAATGTGTAATAATGGGTTATGCATCGTCATGG